CTGACGGGGAATTGTGAAAAGAGAAAAGTTGAACTGTGACAGCGAGAAAGTGCCTTATAAGCGCTTTTAAAAGTCAACAGTTGCGGAGGAGGTTCCAGCGGAGAGATTGGGAGCGTATAAAAGCGAAACCGGAATTAAATACCATTCTCAAAGCTGGAGCTTTCCTGAAATGGCAGGAAAGAAAGAGGATTTATAGCATATGAACTGAAAGTGTTAACAGCGACCCGAAGGAGGATGGGGAAAAAAGCCGGAAGGAGAAGAAAACAGAGGAAGCTCCTCCATGCTATCGGGAGTGTAAAAGAAACCAGCACGCAAAGAAGCGGTTCTGAAGGCGCTCTGAATAAGCTTTTTAACAGAAATTCAAAGGAACATTACTAACATACTAACATAGATAATACTTGTAACCGGACTGAAAAAAAGAAATTTGACTGCTCACAGAAGAAGCCTAAGAAGATTGATTGGACACTACTAACAGTTTAATTTACCAGTTAATATATCACTCAGCTTTCTCTTTCTCTCACTATATACCCTCCCTATTTTTCTATTTAAGCGAAACACCCCTCCTTTTTAGGAGAGTCAATAAAATCTTTATAAAAACAAAAACAAAAAAAGAGCAAGAAGCAGCCAGGTAAGTTGCAGAGCCCCCTCCCCCGCCTTCAGGTACAAGCTCTCCCTCCGCTGCGAGGACAGATCTACATGTCCCCCTTCCTCCCCAATAGGTAGCAATCCAAAACAGTCCAGTGGAGCCTGAGTGGTGGGTGTTGCCTTCTGACACACTTCCGGTAATCCCAGGGGGTGTGGCATATGCAAATAAGCTATGCTAATGAGTTATGGTAATGAGCTCCTGCACCTCTTTTTCTATGGAATGACCCCTGCTCGGGATGGAAGGGAAGGCGGCATGGTACAACCCAATCTCGTCAGATCTCAGAAGCTAAGCAGGGCCGGTGCTTGGAAGGGAGACCACCAAGGAAAATTTGCAGAAGAAGGCCATGAGAAGCCCGCCTCTTTTTCTATGGAATGACCCCTGCTCGGGATGGAAGGGAAGGCGGCATGGTACAACCCAATCTCGTCAGATCTCAGAGGCTAAGCAGGGTCGGTGCTTGGAAGGGAGACCACCAAGGAAAATTTGCAGAAGAAGGCCATGACAAGCCACCTCTGCTTCAAGCTTGCCTTGAAAGTCCCTTGCTGGAGTGACCCTACGTCTATTGGGACTTAATGGCACTTTATGCACACATACTTGGAATGTTCATAAACATCTCAGCAGCTGAGTGAAAGCTAGGGAAAGGAGATAGCGAAGGTGGGCTCTATGGCACGATACCTCACTAAGGTCCCTCCCCTCCCCAAACCCCACCCTCTTTAGGCTCTAACCCCACCCACAACCGCGGAGCCGTAGCATGG